TTGGCTCCCAGAGCCTTTTGGAGAACTGATATTGCCAAAATGTGATTTTATGTTACAGTTGCCACATAAACAAATTAGTCTCAAAACAACTTAGAACTGAGCTTGAACTGATTCTTCCATTTCTCTGGTTTAGAATGATTAAGCGTCTGTCCCTGAGTCTTGAACTTCTTTATAATCCTGTTTTTCAGTGGTGCTTATTCTGCATTTTCGATCTCATAGTCACAACCCCCTTGATTAGCATGGTGGAAAGTGTCTGACCATGAGGAGGTATGGAAAAGGTACTGATGGATTTTTATTTTTTTTTTTAAAAGAAACGAGCTTCTGAGAATAACGTTTAGAGGACAGGTAGGGGGGAAACACAAAACAGAAGTTCAGCTTGCAGGAAGAAAGAGCCAAAGAGGAGATGGAAAAGGAAGAAGAGATAAGGATACAGAAGACATCTCAAAAAAAGGATACCTGTTGCTGTTGAGTGTTAACATTAGGGAGAAGATGAGGAATGAAAAACAGAAGGAGGAATGTATAGTAACCTCCCTGAGTAGCTTAAAACAGAAAGGGGATTATCCTCTAGAGTTCAGCACAGCTCACAAAGGAGTGTAGTCTTTGTTTACTAAAAGCAAGGGATTTCATAGCAAGGGATGTAGCTGGCGCGTTCAGACACAGTCACGTTTCATCACTATGATCCTCCCTCCTCCATAAAACAAGACACCTTAACTCGGGAATGTGGTGTGTGTCCCCCGGCCAATCTTTACGGGCAGATGTGCTGCAGGAATATGCCAACATGTGTCCTGTGCTTGCAGTGTTTCTCTCCCACATGGCCGTAAGGAGAGCTCTGCATGTAGGAGTTTCTAATTTACTCATACCCTGAAGGATAACGCGAGTAATATGGGGATGTTGTTAAACATGGCATATGTTGTTGCTGTGAGCTGCTTTCGCCTTACCAGTTCCATGCGTGAAAAGTGACTTTGTTTCCTTAGAAGGCTTTGCGTGGAGGGTATATCAATTGGTCACGGAGAAAATCTTGAGAGGACTTATGACAAGGCATACTAATAAAAACCCCCAAAACATAATTGCTGGCATCCAGTCTTACAGTTCAGTGTGGGAACTTCTCCTTCCCACAGGACGGAGGGAGAGTAGTATAAGCTCATACACAGCACCTCTTCACATACACAAACATAAATAATTAGAGTTAGTTCGTGTCTTGTTGGAAGTATAGTTAGTATCCAGCCTTGGCTCTATTCCACTTTTGCTGTTTTCTCTATGAAATAATAAATGTGTGTGGCCCTAAGTTAAATTTATGTTATAAATATGCACGATTAAAATCGACCCTATTTGCTTATGGGCCAAAATTTTCCCAACAGAGGAATCTGGAGAACCCAAATTTATTGCGATGGCTCCTTGATTCTTCTGCTCCTCCAGCTCCAACCGTGGCTCTGGCCAAAGCCAAGCTGGAGCGGAGCATTTCTGCTGCGTGATCACGTACGCGGCGCCCAATGGGGGTAGCGGGCAGAGTCGCTGGTGCCGTCGAGGACAAATTCCCCTCTGATGGGAAAATGTAACCAGATTGTGCGCCCTTTAAATTAATGCTCAGTGGGCAAAAACCCTGCCCTCCTGCAGCTTGGGATTTGCTCCCTGGGACGTTCCGGGTGGTGGGAATAGTAGCAGAGGTGAGCTACGCCGAATACCTCTAACGGTGTACAGCTCACCCGTGATCTCAGACCTTTTGAATAATACCCTAAAAACAAGCTTATAATACACTACTGAGATGTTTCCCGTCTCAGGGATGTCTGCAGCGCTGGGCACACGTAATGCCTTTTACTACGCTCGTTTGCAGTTCGAATGGCTCGCGGGGGTCAGCGGTGGAGTGCAGGCTTTTTCACCCCTTGAGCAATGAAGCATTGAGTAAAAGTTATTATTACCAATTACTGGTGGCATTATTATTACCAATTAGTGGCTGCATGAAGCAAATCATTAGTCTTAGCTCAGTTATTAGCAGCCAGGTGTTCATGAAACCTGCCATGTGCCGCTAGCGTTGGAGCCCAGCCGTCACCGTCAAGGCCAGACGCTGAATTCGTGATGTCTCTGCGCTGTCCCCGCATGGGTTTTTGTTGTCCCCCCCCCAAAGAAGCATGTTTGAAGTCAGCATGTGGGGTTTTTTTATTGCCACTGGTGTTAGGTACCCAGTGAGTGAATAAATAAGGCAATTCCAATCTCTAGACGAGTATTCCGACGCCTTTAATACGGTGAATTAATGATTTAAAGCCAAATATTAGATTAGCAGTTTTGTTGTTGGTTGCTGCTTCCTTTGTAAGAGCAAAATTGTCACGTCAGAGAAGGGAAAGTTACAGTGTAAATTACTTTTGATTGAAAGTACTGCTTCTCTAGGGGTTTTTGAAACCCTTTAATATGCAATATTCTCACATACCCATTAGTTTGCATAGTGACTTCGCACAAGCAATTTTAGACCGCAAGCAGGATGAAGTAAGTTCTATTTGAGAACTTAAATAGCACTTCAATACTGTGTTGTAATTAAAAAAATTAGGAAGTTAATGGTAAAAAAATTGAATTGTACCTTTAGTGTTACTTCCATATTGAACTATGTATTTAACTTCGGTGCATTTTGCAGGGGGATTCATAGCTGTAGTCTATAATTATATAAAATAACTAATAAAATAAGAAAAATAAGAATAACTAATAAAGTCTTAATATACCAAATACTTATTGCCTATAATTGTTTTTAATTGTGTAATTTGAGTATTCATTAGAAATCTTTTTCCTGTTTCTTGGAGTAAGGAGGAGGCAGTGGGAGTGTTCTTTTCTCTTTCAGTGATTCAGATGTCTTCTGATTTTCAAGTTTAGTGAAGAAAGGATTTGACTGACGATTTCTGTGAGGAGTGTTTAAAGCAAATAAATTGTAGGATGGCATCAGTCATGTCGGGTCAGTCTGAGCACTAGTTGGGTAGGGACATCTGGTGGTGCAATAAAGGAATAAATGAACACTTGCAACTCAAAGCGCAGTTGCATTGGAGTGATTAAGGCAAAAACACCATTATGCTCATGCTGTAATTACTTTTTCGTTTCAAAATTATTCTAGAAACACTTATATGCCTGTTTACATTTCATTTCGTGTATGGTCTTAATTTACTGGAAAAGAGAAGTAGAAACTGAAGCCCTATTCTTGAGCTGGCAGCTTGCAGACATAATGTGTTGAACACCCTTAACTCGAAGGGCATTTAACTTACACTCAATTGGAGGTTTAAAATCAAACTTGTGATACTGGACCATGGTTCTGTGGATGGAGTGAGTTTATGTAAACCCTGTGCGTTTGGGCTCTGTTTGTAGTTCTGCCAGTGATTCGGTGTGATCTCTGGGCAAAGCTCGTTTCATCTCTTTTACTCCATCACTCACCAATTGTTTCAGTCCACCTTTCAGTCCACCTTTCTGTAAAAGTGCTGTGATAATTTTCAGTTTCTGAATTCCATGTGTGAAGAATCATAGAAGTAAAATGTTTACTTATCTTTGGCTACAAAGTTCTATATTAAAGATACAGTGAACAATTCAATTTGCATGTGTTTACCCTGAACCCCTTATGGATCATATATAAGTGACCAATATTTTAGGTTTAGTCATTTTAAAAGAGAAACTCTTTCGGGTGAATTTTCTGGTGCTGTGTGTAACTCTGCCTGATACTTATTTAGCACTGTGCACATGGTGACAAAACTGAGTTCTTGGAAACACACGTGTTGAAGGCCATCCCCTTGGGAAGAGTTTCCCAGGAGCGTTTAATGCCGTGATATCTTACCAGCACTGCACCAGGCACTCACCTGCCAGCACAGGGCAAGACTTTCTTGATCTGTGAACATCTTTCATGTTGTTATGTTCTTCCTGCTGTTTGTGTGTATCCAGCCATCGGTAGCACGTGTTGACCACACATGGTGCCTTCTGGGAGGTGGTGTCATGTGCTCTGAGGAGGGTTCGGGCACAGGCTGTGCAGGGACAACTTGGTCTCAGCAGGCAGAAAGCGAAGGATTGTGTTGATCTACTCCCGCTTATGAAGCTTTTGCAACTGCTGTCCTGTCTTCTCTTGGAGTAGATGTATTCTTGAAATGATGGTGTTGATAAGTTACTAGATTGTGCTTTATGTATTGTGTCAGGAATGCATTGTTACCGTGACGTATTCCCCATGCAACTCTGTAAAAAGAAAAGGGGCAAAAACCCCAAGTGTTGGCTTTTTGCTTTGCTTCCAACATGACACCAAGAAGCCTTCCAGGAAGCATCTGTAGGAGGTCCAAGGTTCAGCTCCTTCCATTGTATCCTGGGCAGAAAAAAGTCAGTAACATAAATCTGTCACAGCCAGTTATGGACTCTTTACTGTGGTCATTATTCACACAAGGAACTTCATAATCTGTAAGGAAGGATGTATATAATCAAGCTCAGAATCAGAACAAGCAGTACATAATTGAAAAACCGGGACTTTCAGATCAAGAGTCTTCTTTAAGTAATGAGCTGCAGAGATCAGCACTGTGCGAAGTAGAACAGTTTATCTCAAAGTCAGAATAACTGTTCCTTGCAACTCTTCACAAGAGGGTGGGTATTTTATTGAGGTCCAACCCTCCTTTCTCTCCTTGCAGTAACATTTATGTTTTGTAGAATTTGTCATGACTTCTTTTCCATAAAGCAGCAATTCTTTGTCATATGAAATCTTCCATTGTCACCCCAGTGGTTCTGTCACCATCCTTTAAAAATTTCTCTGCTCTTGGTTTGGATAAAAGAGAGAAGCACTGGCATTTGTATGCCATACCCTTTGTTTCTGAGATGTCCCAAGGCCGTGGTGACAAGTGTGAAGTCAGGGATAGCCACAGAGTTGGTACAGACGTGCTGTTTTCTGTTAATGAGAAGCTGGTGTTCATCCCCAGCCCTTCTAAGTAATATTTAATCCACAACACTTTATATTGTATTGCAAGCAGCCCGTAATAGAAAAAAATGTTGGTTTTATGTTTCAGGTGCAAAGATGGCTTGAAAGGATTTACATACTCTGCACTAAAGTAAGTAAAGTTTCTGTGAGCACGTAGCTTGAAGTGAAGATTTTGAGGGACAGTGCGTAGTGGCAGCTGCATTGTATGAAAATGGAGTTCCTAAGAAAAACCACGCTGTTGTAACTTCTTTCCAACTTTTGGGGTTGGAAGAAGGCATTATATGGAAGGCATATTTGGAAGAAGGCATAATATGCTGACAAGAGAGGGATCTTTTCATATTTGGGACCGTTACTGAAAGGAAACGCAGACATATGGTTGCATGTTTTTGAAGCGGCATTAATCTTTTCTCTTTCTAAAACTGGGATTCATCATTGTCACTATTCTCCTGGAAGCGAATAGCTGCTGTGTTTTGACCTGGAGTTTATTTGCTGTACTTACAGAGTATTGAATGAATACAACAGTAGTTCTGTGACCAACACTCAGATAAAGTGTGGACTTATAGAATCATAGAATGGCTTAGGTTGGAAAAGACCTTGAAGATCATTGAGTTCCAACCCCCCTGCCAAAGACAGGGACACCTCCCACTAGACCAGGTTGCCCAAGGCCACGTCCAGCCTGGCCTTGAACACCTCCAGCGATGGGGCCTCAACAACCCCTCTGGGCTATCTGTGCCAGTGCCTTACAGCCCTCAAAGTAAAAAACTTCTTCCTAATGTTTCATCTAAACCTGCCCTCTTCCAGTTTATAGCCATTCCCCCTCGTCCTGTCACTACATGCCCCAGTAAAAAGTCCTTCCCCAGCTCTCCTGTAGGCCCCCTTTAGGGACTGGAAGGCGGCAATAAGATCTCCCCGGAGCCTTCTCTTCTCCAGGCTGAACAGCCCCAACTCTCTCAGCCTCTCCTCATAGGAGAGGTGCTCCAGCCCTCAGATCATCCTCGTGGCTCTCCTCTGGACCTGCCCCAGCAGGTCCATGTCCTTCTTATGTTGGGGACTCCAGAGCTGGATGCAGTACTCCAGGTGGGGTCTCACGAGAGTGGAGTAGAGGGGCAGAATCACCTCCCTTGCCCTGCTGGCCACACTTCTTTTGGTGCAGCCCAGGATACGGTTGGCCTTCTGGGCGGCGATTGCACATTGCTGGCTCATGCTGAGCTTCTCGTCAGTCAGCACACCCAGGTCCTTCTCCTCAGGGCTGCTCTTCAGCCATTCCCCGCTGAGCCTGTATTTGTGCTTGGGATTGCCCTGACCCAGATGTAGGACTTCCATCTTAACATGAGGAGGAACTTCTTTACTTTGAGGATAGTGGAGCACTGGCACAGGCTGCCCAGAGAGGTGGTGGAGACTCCCACTCCGGAGACATTCAAAACCTGCCTGGACGCTGTCCTGTGCAACTGCTGTAGGTGCCCCTGCTCTGGCAGGGGGTGGGACTAGATGATCTCCAAAGGTCCCTTCCAACCCTGACCATTCTGTGATTCTGTGACTCTGCACTTGGCCTTGTTGAACTGCATGAGGTTGGCATGGGCCCTCCTCTCCAGCCTGTCCAGATCCCTCTGGATCGCAGTCTACCAGTTTGGTGAGCGTGTCTACCTCACCAAACAGCTTGGTATCATCGGCAAACTTGCTGAGGGTGCACTCGACCCCACTGTCCATGTTGGCGACTTGTAGCATATTCCTTTGAGAGATCCTGAATGTGCCACTAAACTTGTGTCTGCCCTAGTGGTCCAGGCTCTCCTAGAATTTACTTTGCAATGGGACCTTCTGGTGTTACTCACTCATTTGTATCGTTATAGAAAGTTCTCCCATCTTCATGTCTCGTGTCAGAAGTACAAAGACACATTATTCTTACCTGTCCTTTATGTACTCTGGACCTGTCTGTCACTCAAGACAGCCCAGCACGTGGACAGTGTCAACTCACGGGTGAAGAACTGAAGTCAACCAAGACAGACTTGCTGTTGTTGGCAGTGGAAATATTTTATAGAGTTTGCAGCTATGAAACAGCTGTGGAATTTGATATAAGGTGCCAATAGTTAAATAATTCAGTCTATAGTCCAGAAATCTGGACATGAAACACTCCTGTGACAGCGTTGCGGAAACAGTGCTTTCTGAAATCACCAGTTTACTGGGAGATTCAGTCAAATACCAAATGACAAAGTTTTTATACCTTCATTGCCCTCAGCAGGACTACCACAGTACAGTGTCATTTGGATTATAGTGCAAAGTGTTAGGAAACATCTTGGCACTGTGACCTCCTTTGCCCTTGATATACAGTAATTCTACACCTAAGATGAACCGGTGTATTGACAATATCAGCTTCTGGGGGAACAAAGAGGGCTGAAGATGAAGCCAAGCAAAACAAAGTTGATGCTCTTGGTGGGAGCAAAAACATTTTGAAGATTTTAGAAAATAGATATTTTATAAAAATATCATGGTAATCATCAGCCTTTACGTAACCCCATTTTGCTGGAGATAATTGAGATATTTCATGTGCCTTTTTATTTTCTTATTTGGTCATCTTGTTTTGTGTGAGAGATGGACTTCCCCAGCAATGTTTTTGTTCCTAGTTTTAAAACATTCCTGGCAGCAATTGTGACCATTTTCTGAAGATTAAGTATATGTCAGTGGAGTGATCTTTTCAAAGAGATACAAGGTTTCGCAGCTGTATAGGATGTTTTTTCTTCTGTAGACCCGTGAGTAACTTCAAGCCTGTCTTAAAGACTTAGAGTCTTAGATTGGATTTTATGTATTCCTTTGAGTTATTTATTTAATTATTGTCTTGTCCTGTTGTTTTGTT